AGCCTCAGTAGGGGTTACACACTTGAGATAGGGACCGGAGAATGACCTTCGGTACAACTGATTATTGATGATGGCGTACTTAGCCGCGGTAAGCCTAAGCTTCCTTGCCTCAGCTTTCTGATTCGGGAGAACCCCTTCCTTGAGGTAGGCTTCGATTGGATCAATCCAGCAGGGCTCGCGTGGTACTTCCGGGATCACCATCACCTCTTGCTGGGGATTAATGCTAGGTCCTTCGAGAACATCGATTGGAACAAGCCGAATCAATTCTTCATCTGAAGATGATGCGGCTGCGGCCAATCGATCTGCTTCGGCATTTTCATCTCGTGGTACCTGATGGAACTCGATTTGATCGAACTCTCGGATAGCACTCTCTACAGCATTTTTGTACGACTTCATACGTTCCTCCTTGGGAGAATATTGCCCTGTCACTTGATTGATCACAAGCTGTGAGTCCCTAAAAACTTTTAAACATCGTACCTGTAGCTGTTTAGCTAGCCGAAGTCCGGCGAGCATCGCTTGATACTCGGCCTCGTTATTAGTAGATGGGAAATCTAGCAAAATTGACTGCTGCAGCTTGGTACCCTCGGGTGTTGTGATGTCAATACCGGCCCCTGCCCTTTTCCGGTTGGAAAAGCCATCAACTCGTAACTCCCAGTATGGCTCTGGAAGTGTCGGTTCCTCAGGTTGATCGTCGTACTCTAGTAGGAAATCCGCTACCGACTGCCCCTTGTGAGATACCTTCGGTGCATAGGTGATGTCAAAAGAGCTAAGTTCAATAGCCCATTTTGTAATTCGACCAGACAGGTCTGGTTTAGCTAGGATAGCCCGTATAGGGTAATTTGTAAGTACCACTATGCTGTGAGACTCGAAGTAATGTCGAAGTTTCCTCTTGGCATAAATTAACGCCAGGATTACCTTTTCTGTCTTGCTGTACCGTGTCTCGGCATCCGTCATCGTTTTCTTGTGTAAAAGATTGGGTGCTGAACCTTGTCTCCTTCTTTGATCAACACTGCACTTGTTGCTACAGCTGATACTGCCAGATACAGGATGAGAGTGTCTCCGGGCGTTGGAGCAGAAAGGATTGGGGGTTTTGTCATGTAGCTTTTCAATTGATTGAGAGCTTTCTGTTGCTGAGGTCCCCACATATCTTTATTTTTGGATCGAATAGCATCAAAGAAAGGTTTACACTTATCTGATAATCGGGATATGAACCGGCTGAGAGCCGCAATTCGGCCGGTTAGAACTTGCACTTCCCTGCAGGTTTTCGGCTCCTGGTTCTGTATGAGTGCCTTTGCATGAGCTGGGCTTACTTCTATTCCTCTTTTATTTACGACGTGCCCAAGGAACTGTCCTGACGAAACGGCGAAGGAGCACTTGGTGGGGTTCAGCTTCATATTGTATCTCTTGAGAGTATCAAAGACCTCCTGGAGGTGCTTCGGGTGGTCCTCTTTTCGTATACTTTTAACCACCATATCATCGATATAGGCTTCAACTGTATTGCCCAGCAGATTACTGAAAATTTTATTGACAAGTCGCTGGTAGGTGGCTCCGGCATTCTTTAGACCGAAGGGCATCACTCTGTAGCAGTAAGTGCCCGTTTCTGTGATGAAAGCGGTTTTCTCCTCATCTTCAGGATTCATGGGAATCTGATTATAGCCGGAGTATGCGTCGAGGAATGTGAGCCTTTCATAACCCGTCGTAGCATCCACCATTTGATCAATCTTGGGCAGAGGAAAGCTATCTTTTAGGCAAGCTTTGTTAAGGTTGGTATAATCTACGCATACCCTCCATTTCCCATTCTTCTTTTGAACGACTACTACATTTGAGAGCTATTGTGGGTATTGCACCTCTCGAATGAATCCTGCTTGTAACAATTTATTTACTTCCTCGGCTATTATGCGATTCCGTTCAGGTGCGAACCGTCGGTGCCTCTGCTTGACTGGCCTGAATTCTGGGTTAACCCTCAGACTATGGCATGAGACTGTAGGATTGATCCCCACCATATCTGAGTGATCCCAGGCAAAGACATCCGAATTGCACCGAATAACCCCGATCAATGCTTCCTTCTCTTCGGCTGTGCAAGATGAGCCAATGTAGGTGATCTTCTGAGGGTCTCCGAGGACTACCTCTATAGCTTCGAGGGACTCCTCGGTAGGTGCTTCAGCTTTGGATTCTTCCTCTGCCTTGAGATACTTGGGCAAAGGATACTGTAACTGCTATTTGATTGCATCTTTGGGATTCGCCTCTGACTGAGGTGATTTCGACGCTTTCTTTGCTTCGTGTAGCGTTAGCATGTAACATTCTTTGGCAGCAACCTGGTCTCCCCAGAGGTCGATGATCTCCCTGCCATCCGGGGATAAACACCTCATTACTTGATGAAGTGTAGAAGGGACTCCGTTCATACGATGGATCCAACCTCTTCCCATAATGAGGTTATAAGATGGATGAATCTCTGTCACGACGAAGTTTTCCTTCAGAGTTCTCTTTGCTGCAGTAACGGATAGATTGATCACCCCAAGCGGATTCACCTTAGTACCATCAAATCCCATTAGGGGGCCGGAAGTTGGCCTGATGGATGATGGTGAAATCCCCAACTGATCAAAAGCTGTTTTTGTAATGATGTTGGCGCTACTTCCCGGATCTATCAGCACTCTCCTGATCATGTAATTTGCTACCAGGAGGCTGATGACCAAGGGGTCCTCATGTGGGCGCTGGACTCTACAAAGATCGTTGTTACCGAATCCAATGTTGATGCTGCCTGGTGCAACCGTTTTTACCGAAGACAACCTTCGTAACTTATGAGCCTCTCGCAGCCTAGATCTGTACAACTCTTCAGACTCTTCATCATCCTCTGACCTTCCGTGAATAGCATGGATCACCTTTACCTGACCGCCCTCTACCCGTCGAGGGTTAACCTCCCGAGGTTTTACGTGCTCCTTCGTGGCGAGATACTCCACCAACTCTCCTCTCGCTATCATGCTTTCTACCTGTCGCTGTAGGGACCTGCAGTCATTGGTGGTATGCCCATAATCTCTATGGTAGGCACAATATTTGTTTTTGTCCCTCTGCTCCAAGGGTTGTTTCATGGGCTGAGGAGTCGCGAACCTCGTCTTATTCTCTTGGAATAGGCGCGCCAAGGTAGTACGAAGAGGGGTAAGCCTGTCCTCTGTCCTTCGCCTTTTCTCAGACGCTTGGGTGGCTTGTGTAGCGGTATGAGGAACCTTCTGCATCCTTGTGCTCACAGCTTTCTCTCGAGACTTGTTTTTCACTGTGACGAGGGTAGCGTGCTGCGCACGGTGAGCTACGTTTTCCTCCAACCGAATGTAGATTTGTGCCCTAGCGTTCAAAGTCTGCATATCCGGTGGGGAATATTTGACCAAGGATGTGTGAACTTGGTTCCCTGGATCATTGCCAACTTAAATGTTTCGATTGCCGTGGCAGGATGGCAATCTGCTATCTCCGAGGCCTCCATGTTAAATCTGGATAAAAAATCTTGCAGAGTTTCTCCCTTCCTTTGCCTTATGGTGAAAAGGCTGGCTATACTTTTCTTCTGCTTCTTATTTCCGCAATACTGGGCTAAGAACATAGTGCACAAGGTCTCATAGTCAGGGATAGACTAGTGTGGCCTATTCCTGAACCATTTTAACGCTACTCCGGTTAAACTGGTAGGAAAAACCTTACACATCCACGGATCGTTATGATCGTCCAATGCCATCTTTTGCGTATAATGATCAAGATACCGAGAGGGGTCGCCTGCCCCATCGAACTGGGTGAAGGATGGCATAGTGAACTTCTTCGGCCTCTCCACAAGGTACACCTCGTTAGTAAAGGGGGTCTTGACCAAGGAGTTCTTGTGCTCTCTAGCCATCTCGGCTGGTGTCTGGACTCTCAAGAGCTTTTTTTCATCGAATGCATCTTGTACACGTGCGCCATCTGGAACGCCATTGGACCATACCGTAAGCCTATGGCTGGACTCGGCCTGTTCGTCCTGTGTGCGATGCGGGAGATTATCCGAAGCAACCGCCTCGGACCTCGTCCCTTGCTTTTGCTGCGCCTCACTAGGTCGAGCCCCGTTGGGTGGTGTCTCGTTAGCTGGAGGCTCGTGAACCGGAGGTAAATTCCGGGTGGGAGGTGGTGCCGCAGCATCGCCTGGTGGTGGTTGTGGCGTTAGCCTGGCCATGGCCGTATGCAGCGTATGAGTCTGCTGCTGAAGCACAGCTATCTGGGCGACACTCGTATCGTTTGCTTGCCGGAGTGTCTCAAATTGGTGCAAGAACTCTTCTCGCATCTTTTGCATCAATTCTATCTGTTGATTCATTGCTGACTCTCCGTTTGACATTCCAGACACGACTAAAGGATTTAATTTGAAGAACAAGTGGGAGTATATTTGTATACGGTTCCCACAGACGGCGCCAAAGTGTATGTGCAAAATTTCGCTCAACCAATAATGATTGAGAAAAATAAAACAACTCACTCAAAAACAATAAAAATAAATAAGAACAATGTGTAGAGAAGTGTGGAATTGCTTGATCCTTTATTGGAGGTCTTAGCCTCTATTTATATACAAAAGATTGCAAAATTATGGTAGGACTTGCGTTACTTGCCCTCCAATTCTTTCTATATAGCCATTCTTTTCTAATAGAGTTCTTTCCATTGTCGAATTTTCCATACATAGACCTTGCCTTGTACAGAACTTCCTATCAGAATTTTCCTTATAAGGTAATTCCTTCAAATGGTAGGACTTGTGTATTGTTGGGCTGAATATATTTCGATCCGGCTGGGCTTGAATAACAGGCTGGATGTTAAATACTCATAAGCTGGGCTGATGACTTCTTGATTCGGCCTTGATGGAAGTTGGAGGACAAATTATAATGGTCTTGGGCTGTAAGTATGCTCAATTTGGGCTTGAACATGATGGGCCTTAAATGCCCTTGGAATGTAGATATGTGTGGTGGTGACGTGTGCATTTTTTATTGGAGGGAGTTTTTTTTCCCTCCACAAAGGGTCTTCACGAAAATTTGCATACCCCCTCTGAGGCGGAGGACCAAGTGAAGGGTCGACTCCTTTTGGATGTTATAGTCCGCTAGGGTTCGGCCATCTTCCAGTTGCTTTCCGGCAAAGATGAGCCTTTGCTGGTCTGGTAGGATGCCCTCTTTGTCCTGGATTTTTGCTTTGACATTGTCTATGGTGTCTGAGCTTTCAACCTCGAGTGTTATAGTCTTGCCGGTGAGGGTTTTCACAAAGATCTGCATCTGTTTTCATTAAATTAAAAGATATTCAAATATTGGGACTATAGCATATACCGATCAAGAAAACACAGAGAAAATTAATTAAAAAAAAATAAATAAAATCTTCCGCTTTATAAAACAAACATACACGAAAATCAGATCAAATCTTAAGATAAAATCTTTTGGAATGGAAATTAAGAAACATATCGCAAATCTTAACATAAACTCTTTTGGAATGGAAATTTTAAAATACAAAGATCAATCTAGAGACATCGCAAATCTTCTTATTTACTTAGATTTGATCAAATTCCATCGATTCAAAGAACTCTTAATAAACTTCAAACAGATCTGACCAGAAATCCGATAAAATCAAATCGCTTATTAAAATCATAATTGTTCGTCAATTCTAACGAATTCCAGCCGATCAAAACAAATCAAAACAATTCTAAACACGTACATCTAAACACATCTGATTAATTAAAAGAACTTTCACACAAGAAAAAAACAATTAAGTGAAGAGAAAAGAAGAAAATCTAATACCTTGGTAGAGAAAGAGAACGAGAGAGATTCGAAGGTAAATCAGAAATCACAATGAAGCTATAGGCTCAAGAACGCCCCTACTTATAGGCAAGATAACCGACTTAGGGGCGGAAACGAATTTATGAGAAGACCAATCAGGTCAAGCCACGTGTAACGGACAATCTACACGCAAAGCAGAGCTCTTTTCGGTTCCTTGCCCTCTCTGCATTATTTTCCTTCTTTAATTTTTATTTCCTTTTTCAAATTTTTTCTTTCTTCACTTATAATTATGTACTATTAACAGTTTGTTTTCTTTTTTCTCATTTTTCTTCTACTTATTTAAATCGTTTCAAAATGAAAATACCCATTGAAGACAGTTGCAGTTGTGATTGTATTTAATAATATTATTATTAATCAATATTTTGATTTCAAAATATTTCTTTTTTACACTACTTATTTAGCATATTGTTTTGCAATTTTTTATTTTTTCTTCGCATGCCTTTTGATTTAGAAAAATTATATTTGTTATACTTGTGGATTTATTTTTTTTATTTTTTTTTATTTTTTTTTTCAATAAGTGCACTGTGCCCCTTCTGAAATAAAATCTTGACTCCATTCCTAATTGTTCATGAACAGTGTGGTAAGACGTACTACCATTAAATTTCATTGTTAAAACTTTACACTTTGGAATCAATTTCGTTTTGAATTGTAATTGATATTAAATTCTAATTAAAATACGAAATATGATACATGTCAGGGTCTTTATTATTGCAATATCTTAAGTGTTTATATGTATACCTATGTATATAAGGCAAAGTATAAAAAAATTCCTTGACTTGTATCATTTTTCAGTAAATCTCTTGTTTATTTTTTTACCAAAGAATTCCTCTCAACTTGTAACATTTTTTCAATAAATCCCCCTTATCTAATTTTTTACCAAATAACCCCCCTCAACTATTTGAAGGGGGTAAAAAAGTTGATATTTGGACGAAAATGTCCTTTTATTTAAATCTTAATTCTCTCAAATTTCAAAAATTCATATCTCAAAAACCGTACATTTAAAAATTGTAAATAATATATGCACGGAAAACTTATGAAATAAGGATTCCAAAAATATAAAATTTATATAACAAACCTTCATAACAAGAGAGAAATAAGCAATCTAAAACTCTACCCCAATAATCTTATTTTATTTTTAAAAAATCAAATACTCTAAATATTTGCTATATATATATGTAAGATTATTTATTTAATTGTGGCCCACATGATTTGGACATGTGACATATTACTTGGTGGCTAAGTAAATAGATATCAAATTAATATTATATTATATTATATTATTTGGTCAACTTATAATTACTTTTTTGGTAATTACTTATTGGAGAAGTGTTTTCCTTTCTTCTTCCTTACTTTGATGGAAAGTAGAATTATGTTATTAAAAGGAAAACTGGTCCTCTCTCTGCCTTTATAAAAGTGCATATACTCCATCAATTATGTACGATTAATGATACAACACGTAAAAGTTTTATGTGTGCAAAAGGCCAAAAGAGAGAAACCAGTTTTCACCTTTGCATGTTGATCAAAGTTGCAGATTAGTTCGTGGTTAAAGGATCTAGAAGTTGGATTTGATATTAACAAGATATTTACAATTAGAGATCGAGGTATTTATATCTAACTACTTTATTTATGTATTATAGCAATGTGAAAATAATGAAGTTCAAAGATCTTAGGGTTCATGTTTATTTGTGATTGAATGGCTTAATAAATTATAGTTTACATGTGGTATCAGAGTTAACGGTTTAGGAACTCATTATTTTTCATTAAAGTTGCATAAATAATATGTATAAATTTAAAATTAAATGATTGTATAATCCATTCTTTTAGAATCGTATGTTTAGATCAGTCCTTGTGGTTTTTGGGTTTGGGTACCTCAATTTCCGAGCCAAAATTAAATTATGAAAGTTGGTTACTGATACATAGTTTACATATGTGTAATAGTACAAACGTAAGCATAATGTGTGTAAGACAAACAACTTCAATGCTTTAGGTTACTGATTTTCGTACATGACTAATAAAGAACATTGAATTAAAATAATAATAATAATAATAGCATTTGTCTTGCTATTGTTTTATAGAAATAGTCAGTTGTGAAAGGATTACAAAGATTCATTATTATTATTATTTAAAAATTAATAAATACATAAATTTTGTGTATTTATTTATTTTATTAAAGAGGTTTAAATTATTGTTATAAGTATTTGTCCAATGATTTGAAGATTTTGATTTTAATTTAAAATAAATTAAAATTAAAGCTATTGAATACATAAAATATATGTATTGATTTATTTATTTTAGGAATTTGAATTTCTAGAATAATTTGTGAGTTTAGAAATTTAATCTAATAAATTAGACATGCAAAAACTTGTTGTTTCGTACCCAAACATACATACATATTGTAGAATCAATTTTAAATTGATTCAATTATGATCTTTAAGTCCGAAAATAAAATAATATATTTTATTATGTATATAAAATAAAAAGATATTTTCTATGAAATTTCGGACTATTAAGTTTTTGAGATCGAAGTTGCTTAAACTTTAATTGACAATTATGAATTTGTGTGTATAATGTTAAATGGGTAAATTAATAATTAATTAATTACTAGTTAATTTAATATTCATATTTTGTGTGGGTTTGTAGTTACCAAAGTGGCCTAACCATAATGGTCGATGAATATTAATTTTAGTAGTAAATATAACTTAATGATAAATTAATTACTATCTAATTTAATATTCATATTATGTGAAGATTGGTAGCTACTAAAGTGGCCCAATTATAACGATTGATAAATATTAATTTTTGTAATAGACATAATTAATCATAAATTAGTTACTATCTAATTTAATATTTATATTATGTAAAGGTTGGTAGTTACCAAAGTGGCCTAACCAATTTCATGAATTATGATGCTTATAATTTTTTGTGATATTCATGAATATTGATTTTATTTAATTATGAGAAATAATTCCTCAAAGGGAATTGATTTTCAACTGATTAAATAAAAATTAAAGGTTCGCATGTATTTTTTTTTTATTAGGTAAATATAGGATATCCAAAGGTAACTTATTTGTTTAATTAAATAATGCATCACCAATAAAGGTATACATATAAATACATGTAAGTATCATTATTAGTATTTTATAGTTGCCACCCAAAGGGGTACTATAGTTATACATTGTATTTATATTTTTAAATTATACATACGTGTTGTTAACTCAAAGTATTATTGTTGTTAAGACTTTATCTTATTATATTTGTTTTATTACATTCCTTAATGCGCATGCTACATCTGTTTTGATTCTTAATATGACTAACTTCTCATAATGAAATGAGTAAGTTAAGTTCAAAATTTCAATGTGTTAAATCTTAATTTAACATTTTAAATTAAGAAACTTACTGTTATTACTGATAAAAACAGTGAGGAAGAAAAGATTCTCCATAAAGATTGGGAGAGATCGAACAGATTAAGTATTATGGTTATGCGAATAATTGTTCCTCATAGTGATAGTGCTAAAGAATATTTGATTATAAGAATGTTTTCGTGTTGTAGATAAATATCTAAAACGAAAATTATTAATTGATATAACTACTATACAATTTTTGTTGGTACTCTTACCATGTATGTGTATGTTTTTTTTAGATAACTAATGTTGTTGTAAAATTGAGAATCTTATGGATGATTGTGAATGAGAATTTTCTTATTCAATTTATTCTCATTTTCTTGTCTATTCAGTATGGGACATTTAGAGAATTAACATTATTAAGACAAGTGGGAAGTGATTTAATTGACAATTATGTTAATTTAGGAGGAGACAAGACTTAAGTGGCAAGGTAATCATTATGGTCATCTAATTACTCAAGAAGTTATAAATAAATTTTGGAAATAAGTTTGAAAAGGCATTAAGTGAGTAACACCTAAAATTAAAAGATTTAGGTCAATCTACTAAAAGAAAGGAATGTAATAATGAAAAAGTGTCATTAATGTATTGAATACTTTTAGAAAGAGTACATGAAATATAAAGAATGATTCGAAAAAGAATGGTAAACTTTTAGCTTTTGTATATTTCAAATTACTTATTGAAATTCTTTATAATACATGATAGGTTGACTTAAGTACTAATGTTTATGTTTCTAATAAATGTAAGAATTTCTTATGGCCTAAATCACAAATTCAAATAAGAATTTCTTATTTATGATAATTGGGAAAAAGTTTTGTTGAAACCATTGTGATATTATATTTAATGTTAGACAGTGGATTTTATTTAAACTATTTTAAACTTTTTATGTTTATTCAATTTCCCATAATTTGATTTTATTTCAAAACTTTATGTTAATGATTTTTCTTTTAAATTTGATAATGATGTTTATTCAAGAAATTCTAATTTGTGAGTTATGGTATTATTGTTGATGATTTTTATAAATTAAACTTGATAGTTTATTTATTAAAAACTTTTTGATCTTGCATCATAATGTTAGAATTAAGCGTAACTTAATTAATAGAAAATTTATCTTTCTTGTGGCATAAAAGATTAGATCAATATCTAGTGAAATGTTAGGAAAATTAATAAAGGATGTGATTCTGCTGAATCTAAACTTTACTGATTTTGGTGTGTGTAGATTGTATTAAGGGTAAACAAACCAAACACACAAAGAAATGAGTTACAATAAGTACATAGCTTCTTGAAATTATTCTTACAGACATTTGTAGACCTTTTGATGTTCCATCTTTTGGAGGAGAAAAATATTTTATCGCCTTTATAGTTGATTTTTCACATTATGGATATATCTATTTGTTGTATGAAAAATCTCAAGCAGTGGGTACTCTTGAAGTATACATAAATGAGGTTGAAAAATAAATAGATGGAAAAGTGAAAATCATAAAGTCATATAGAGGTGATAAATATTATGAAAAATATGATGAAACGGGTTAATACTTTAACCGGTTATTATACTCCTTAAAATGTATGGCATTTGTACTCAATACACTTTGCTATACATGTCACAGCAGAAGCGTGTAGCTGTAACGCGTAATCATACTTTTATG